TGAGGTCCTCGATCAGGTCTCAGGCGAGGCTCCGGTCTGGTCTTGGGCAGAACTTCAGGTAGCGGTCTCAGGTTTTGGGCAATGTGCCGGGACGAGGCCCACGGATTCAGAGTCTCGTGTAGCCAAGCATCAAAAGAATCTTTTTAGCTACCAGATTTTATATATTTATTTTCTGGCTGAAGTCCTTCTGACTTAGCTCAGTAATTTCAGTGTTTTCTTGAGATATGGCTCACACCCTGTGGTCACTTATCACCAACACACAGACACTCAACTCACTAGGTTCTGTTTGGTTGCTAGGTTACAACTTAGCTTCTTATCTACTTATCTACTTCACACAGTGTCACAGCAATGTTTAGTTTGGTTTCAGAGTTTACAGAGTTAATATTCATCTTTAATTTCTGATTTCTAAATTCCTAATAAATTCCTAATACATTCAGTGCAACAGCTGACCTCCTCCTACGACCTCTGCACGTGCATGAGTACACACAGTACATGTACCACACACACTACATATATTAAATAAATAAGGAGTCTCACACTACACATACAACAACAATCAGTCAATCAGTCAGTCAGTCAGTCAATCAATCAATCAATCAATCAGGAGGGGCCTGGAGAGATGGCTTAGAGGCTAAGAGCACTGGATGCTCTTGCAGAGGACTCAGGTTCAATTCCTAGCACCCAGCTAAAAACTGCCTGTAACTCCAGTTCCAAGGGCTCTTATGCCCTCTTCTGGACTCTGTGGGCATTGCATGACCCAATGCACTTACATACATGCAGGCAATACACTCATACACATAAAATAAAAATACATAAATAAAATTAAAAAACCTGAATCAGTGGCAGCTTGGAGATCTGTGTGCTTCTTTCCATGTAAACAGTGGTCCCTGTGTCTGTAGGGAATATGCTCCTAGACCCCCCAGTGGTGCCGGAAACCCCGTGGTAGTGCTGACCCTGTGTATGCAGGCCTGTGATAAAGCACCCTAAAAGATTAACAGTAGCAGGCGATAATGGAATGGAACAATCATGACAATCCACTGGGATAAAAATTACGGGAAGGTGGCCTCCCCCTCTGCCTCTCAGATTCCCTCATGGCATAGCCCTCCCCCTTGGCACCTTGGTGATGAGATGAAATGAGGGTGATGTGGGCATACAACGGAGTGTTAGGCTGCTGCTGAAGGGTGGTGACACAGCCATGCTTGACTAGGGGTGACTGAAATTGCAGAAGGGGACATCATGAATAATGGGGGATGGGACAGCCGAACACAGCTGTGTCAGGGGATCATTCTAGGAGGTTTTAATTATTATTTTATTTTGTGTGTATGAGTATATTGCCTGCATGTATGTAAATGCACCCATGTCCTGCAATGCCCACAGAGGTCAGGAGAGAGCATCATATCCCCAAGAACTGGAGTTACAGTTATTAGCCACCATGTGTGTGCTGGGAACTGAGCCTGGGTTCTTTGGTCTTTTTTTTTTTTTTTTTTTTTTTTTTTTTTGTCTTTTTGAGATGTGTCTCAGAAGTTGTATTGTCCTTTTCACTGAATTCCAGGAATTCTTTTATTTCTCGGCAAGAGCAGCCAGTGCTCCTAACCACTAAGCCATCTCTCTGCTCCTCTGTTATTATTTTTTTGAAGGAGTCTCTTGTATCCCAGGAACTCACTATGTAGAGCAGGCTCCCCTTGATCTCAGAGATTCACCTGTCTCTGCCTCCTGAGTGCTGGATTAAAGGTGTATGCCACAATGCCCAGCATTCTAGGAGGTTAAATTTTTTAAAATTTATTTATTTTATGTGTATGAATGTTTTGTTTGCATGTATGTGAGTGTACCTGTGTGGTGCAATGCCCTTGGATATCAGAAGCGGGCATGAGATCTTTGGAACTGGAGTTACAGATGGTTGTGAGCCATCGTGTGGGTGCTGGGAACTGAACCTGGGCCATTGGCAAGAGCAGTCAGTGCTCTTAATCACTGAGCCATCTCTGTAGCCCCAGGGGTTTGTCTTATGACACGGCCTCAATGTAGCCCTGGCTGGTCTGGAACTTGCTATATATATCAGGTAAGCCTGGAACTCATAGAGATACACCTGCCTCTGTGTGCCACCACGCCTGGCTTTAGAAAGATTTTTTTTTTTTGGTCTTTTGAGACAAGGTCTCCCCGTGTAGCCCCAGCCCCATAATGGAACCCATTATGTAGACCAGGCTGACCTTGAACTCATAGAGATCCACTTGCCTCTGCCTCCCAAGTGCTGGGATTAAAGGCGTGAGCCACCAATGCCTGGCCTTAGAAAGGTTCTTATGAAGCTAACACTGGATGCTTTTGGGAATTTAGGACCTGAGGTAGAAGGGAGGTGTGTGTGTGTGTGTGTGTGTGTGTGTGTGTGTGTGTGTGTGAATGTGTGTGCACGTGTGTGCTTGCCTGTGCAGGTATCTGTGGAGGCCCGAGGTGACATTTCATGTCCTCCTCTATTCCTCTCCACCTTGTTTTTTGAGACTGGGTCTCTCACTGAACCCGGAGCTGGCTGTTTCATTTAGATTGGCCAGTGAGCTTCCAGGATCCACCTGTCTTTGCCCACCAGTGTTGGGGTTATAGGCACATGCAGCCATGCCCAGGTGAGTGCTGGGGATCTGAACTCAGGTCCTCATGCTTATGCAGTAAGCACTTTATCCACTGAGCTATCTTGCCAGCACTAAAAGGGGGATTTTAAACATCGTGCACTCTATTGAAGTTCAAGAGACCCTCTAGCATAGTGGTTCCTTAAGTAGCACAGACTCTGACTCATGGTGTGTGTTCAAATCCTGCCCCTTCCTAGATGTATGATCTTGAGCAAGTTTGGCATGTGCTCTAGCCTTGTTTTCCATTATAATTTGTATCAGTCTATGAAGATGCCTGTGGAATGCCTGGAATGACTGAGGTGTAGATGCCTTGACTGTCCCTGCTGTCATGGCTATGGCCTTCCTTGCACATTCCATTTTTATTTGGACAGTTAGCAATAAAGCCTTTGGGAATGCAAAGAAAAACAGGCCCAAAGCCAGCTGGTCGCAGAGCTGGGCTGGACTGAGGGCTAACCGCTCTCCCTCCAGGCCTAATGCACTCCCCTGAGGGAATTCTAGAAGGTTGAAGCTGCCAGCTCCGAGGTATGGGTGGCAGCAGGCACTGTGAGACCATTCTCTCCCAGCTTGACAGGAGACATCTGGCAAGGTTGCTCCGGGGTCCAGGGAGCTCCCGGGGGCTCAGGTGTGCTGTGTGAGTGAGCCCCACATGATGGGAGAGGCTCCTGCTGCCTGGCCAGCTGCTTCAGCTTGGAGAGGTTTGGATTCTGTCCCTGTCCTGTGCCACTCACTTCTCAGAGGCCCTTATCCTTCCTGAAACTGTGTGCTAAGGCTGGTGGCTACCTGCCAGCTGGCCAACCCCATAGGACAGGGCAATGTGGGACAAAATAAGGGTGGCCACAGGAGGGGACTGGTGAGAGCAGCTGAACCCATGGGAGCCTGTGGTGACAGGGATACCATGAGGAGGAAGTGTCCAGCCATATCTGTGACAGTGCAGTCCAGGACAATTCACCTTCTGGAACATGGGGACCTGGAGGCTCAAGTGTGATTCCAGTCCCTGGGCTCGAGGACATAGGAGGGACCCTTCTGGCTGGTCCACAGACTCCTGTGGGCCCCTTGACACTAGCCTAGGGCAGTGGCTGCAGTGGGTTCTGGAAAGATGGGGGTTTCTGCGAGGCAGCTGTGAGTTTTTCTATGGGTTAATGATTGATGCTGGGTGGAGGCCAGGCCCTTTCTGGGACTGTTGGGAAGAGTGTGAGTGCTGCTGGGCCTGAGCGCGGCTCTCGAGCCAGGCTTCCACTCTTGGCTGTCTAACTGAGTCTCTGGCCTTCTTTTCACAGATGAGCAGCGGGGGACAGCGCTGGTCTGAACTGGACCTTGTCTGATGGCTTCCTCGAACTCTCCTCCACAGTCTGCCATAGGTACCGTACCCCAGGCCCCTGCTGCCTTCTGTTGCCCCTCCTCCCAGAGGCCCTGTGGCACCATTGGGCCACATGCCCTGTGTCTCCTCAGGTTCCCTGTCCACAAAGTGGAGTAATGTCCTCTTCCGAGTAGGCGCCAGGCCCGGGCTAATGTTTTATGTGTCACCTAAGAACACCTGCGGGGATGGATGGTTGGGGTCCAGGATTAAGGTGCACTTGGGATTGAAGCAGGCCAGTTGAGGTTTGAGAGGAAGGGTCCAGCCATAAAGGTCGGGCCAGGGAGTCATCTCTGTGTGACCTGATTTAGGAAAAGAAGAAAATAATTATATATACTTCAACTTACAAAATCACTTGTTATCTGAAATCCAACCCAGCTTCCTGTGTTTGCCTTGGCAGCCCCTGCAGTGGAGCCTCAGACACCACAGGTGGCATCTAGGCCCTGTCCAAGCCTGTCTCACCCATTGTCCCCTTCTGCCTCCCATGGAGAGGCAAGAGAGCAGAGCGAGGTTTGGTCACTAGCCTAGTCTGAGTTTGGATCCTGACCCTGTCACTTACATTGTAAACTTAGTTAAGTGACTTGCTGTCCTTATGGCTCAATGACATTGTCCTAAACATGGGGTGATAACGCCCTCTCCCATGTTGCAAGATTTAAATATTCATAAGACTGTGTGTGGCAATCAATTGTTCAGAGAATAGATGTGTGTGTCACTGGAAGGTGTGGACAGCCTGTGTGGGTGGTGCCCTGAGCCCCTAAGCCCTGGGAGGGCCAGATGATGATTCTCTATTCCCTTGGTATGTTCCATCCTGAGGTGTGGGGGATCCATCTGCTTGGGGCACCTCATTGATCATGGTGTGGGGATTCACTCAGCGAGAGTGCCTGCCCACAACAATGGCGACTTTCCAGTCCCTACCTCCTGGACTCATTTGGGTTGGCTTTCCTGATGACCGGGTGTGTCCATCAAGGTACAAAATGGCCAGCCTGTCATGCCTTCTGTCCAGATGGTTGGGAGTGGCTCAACTCCCATTTGCCCTGGGTTGGGTCCTTGGATCTTCCCGCTGATAAGGAGAAATGTGGGGTGCTTAGAGAAAGACGAAGGGATCTCCTGTTGTGCTGGAGGCCTGGAGTCCCAGGCTAGCTCCCTCTGGCTCCTACTGCTGAGACACCCTGCTCTCTCTCTCCTACCTTCTAAGAAGGCCAATGGGGAAGTGAGGAAAAGACAGAATCGAGCAGACACCTCTGGACATTTTCTTGTTCCAGCTTTGACGAGCGTAACTGACTCCCTTTACCTGATGGACTGGTCCCTGTCTATTTCTGGGCTCCAGTTCCTGAGGAGAGGGCCACCCTTAGACGCCTGACCTGTGGTGAGCCCTGCCCGATTCGTGTCTGCAGTGCACCAGGGGCACTAACTGTTGGTCCCCCAATTCTGTTTCCCTGGCAATTCTACTCCCCATCCAAGTATGTCAGCTGTTTCTTTGTCCTTCAAGGCTCTGCCAAGGTAGCCTGGGGCCCAGGCCTTTCCCAGAGCCTGGTGAGCACTAGCTAGCTCCTCTTGGGATGTCGTCTCAACCCTTGTGCTAAATTGTTTCCTCCTACTCCACAGCCAGAGGTGAGCTCCCAGACAACCCCAAGGCCATGTCTTATCTTCCCCTTAGTTCCTGGCCCAGGGCTGCCAGCAGCTGCTGGATGGATGCGTGGGTGTGTAGCTGGAGCAGTTTGTTCTCTTCTTGGGAGGAGGTGAAGAAGTGACCTGAGTTCCTGACACCCCTGGGGGAGGCAGGGTGCCCTGGGGTCGGGACTGGCTGACTAGGAAGGAACAGCTCATTCCAGCCTGGGACAGGGCTGGGCTCTGACAGGGCTGTAATAATAATAATAACTGTGATGGAGTCACAAGAATGATGTAATGGCAGTGACAGTAATATACTGGGGCATCACTGTCATGTGAACAGCTAACAGTGACCGAGGGGGGGGGGGGGGGGGGGGGGAGGTCTTTGTGTTAGCCTGGTCTTCCTCCAGCACCCATGGGGGCCAGTTAGCACTGTGGCCCCATTTTCCAGAGCAAGAGCGGAGCAAAGATTGGAAGGTCATGTACCTCCACATTCACCCTGTGGCTGGCATCAGTGGTTGAGCCCAGCTGACGTGGCCCTGAGCGCTTAGTTACTATGGTGGCTCTGCCATGTGTGTAGGGAACCCTCTCAACCCCTGCTCAGCAGACTCACTGGGGCAAGGACCCAGGGCACTGAGAGGTTAGACAAGCACCAAAAAGCAGGATGGGCCTGTATCGTGTGCCTCCAAAACAGCAAGCAGGGACTCTGTAGTCATTTACTCTGGGATTTAAAAATATTTTGAGCACTGGATGTGGTGTGGCATGCCTCTGTTCCCAGCACTTAGGAGGTAGGGGCAGGAGGATCAGAAGCTCAAGGTCGTCCTAGGCTACATAGTAAATTTGAGACCAGCCTGGGCTACATGAGACTGTCTCAAGAAATGAAAAACAAAGTTTTTTGAAACCACAGTTCATAGCCACAATGAGTGTATTTGAGTGTGTGCATGTGTGTGTGCATATACTTATGTGTATGGCTGTGTTTATGTGTGCACATGTGTGTGTTTTCAGCAAAGGCACATTAAATGCATGTTATCTGCTGGGTGACCTAGAGGAAAAGGTAAGGCCCATGGGGAGTTCCAGGGGCTCCATGGCAAACCTCACTGAGGGGTGCAGATTGTAGATTTGGTGTTGAGAAGGTGGGAACAGGAGAGATACCTGGGAGAAGAACAGCCCAGGTCCAGGATGACAGGTCCAGAGGTCATGGCACATTCGTGTACAGCAAGACCAGTGTGGCTGGAGCAGAGGTAAAAAGGGAAGGGCAGAATGCTCCATACACACACACATGCACACACACGCACATACTACACACACACATACATGTAAAAAGGGAAGGGCAGAAGGCTCTCTACACACACACACACACACACACACACACACTACGCATACACGTGCATGTACACACGCACATACACACACTACACATACACGTGCATGTACACATGCACATATACATGCACAGACACACACACTACACATATATGTGCATGTACACATGCACATACACAGACACACATAGACACACAAACACGAATACATGAACATAGAAACACATACATATGAACAGGAATATACACATACATATTATATACAAAACTGACACAAATGTCAGAAACAGTATCAAGAGCGAGGTGTGGCAGCACATATCTTTAATCCCAGCACTCAGGAAGCAGAGGCAAGTAGATCTCTGTGAGCCCAAGGCCAGCCTGGTCTACATAGTTCCAGGTCAGTCAAGCTGCATAGTGAGACCCTCTCTCTCAAAAAAAAAAAAAATTCCAGACAAAAATAGACAATCAAAAACCCCGTATCAAACTTGTACCTATTGTGGGTTGATGTGATGGCTTGGTGGGTATCACCAAGTCTGAGGGCCCAAGTTTGGTCTCTGGGACCCACATGGTGGAAGGGGAGAAATGACTCCCAAAAGTTGTCTTCTGACCTCCACAGGTACACGTGGCATGTGAACATCCAAAACTCACACCTTTAAATAAATAAATGTCATAAAAAACTAAAAAACATTGTACCCAATGTGGTTTTGTTAATACAACTTTAAATATCATAAATAATCAACCCAATACCAAGTGTATTGTATTTGGTATTATAACACCAAATACGGTTTTATGAATGTTGTTGTACAATCATTACACAATCTTTTTAGATATCTGCAGTGAGTGATTGCTTTTAAAATTATTTTATTTATTTTGTGTATGATGTGTGTGCATACATGTGGGTTCTATGGCAGACATGTAGAGATCAGAGGACAACTTTATGGAGTCAGTTCTCTCCTTCCACCCTTATGTGGGTTCAGGGGATTGAACTCTGGTTGTCAGGGTTGCATCATTGGGCAGCAAGTACCTTTGCCTGCTGAGCCATCTTTCTGGCCCCATTTTTCTTTCCTTTAAAACATTTTTATTTTTATGATTTTTCATTTATGTATGTGAGCATGTCACATGTGGTGTCTGCAGAGGCTAGAAGAGGGTATTGGATCCCCTGGACCTAGAGTTATAGGTGGTTGTGAGCTGCCAGATGTGGGTGCTGGGAACTGAACTGGGGTCCTCTGGAAGAGCAGCAAACACTCTTAACCATTAAGTCATCTCTCTCTCTTTTTTTCTTTTTCTGGTCTTTTTGAGACAGGGTTGCCCTGTAGCCCCAGCTGTCCTGGAACTCACTATATAGATCAGGCTGGACTTGAACTCATAGAGAGCCATCTGCCTCTGCCTCCAGAGTGCTGGAATTAAAGGCATGCGCCACAACACCTGGCCTCTCTCTCTCTTTTGAGACAGGTCTCACTCTGAAACCCAGGCTGGCCTCTAATTCCTCCTGCCTCAGCCTCCCAAGTGCTGTGGTAACAGGTATGAATCACCAGAGCCAACAGGAAAACAGGCCTCTCTCTCATTGGGTACATCAGCCCCTGACTGTCCTACCTGGGAACCTCCGGGCCACATGGGGAAGAATCAAGTCTTCCTGAGGGGAAAGATTGTTGGAACTAGATCCATCTGCTGGCCCCTCCACCCTGCTCTCTGCTCAGTCCTCCTCTCCATCCATCATGTCCTGAAGGGTCATAGGCAGCTCTGATGTTTGTCAATAAAGTCAGAACTCTTACATAGGCAGCTCTGATGTTTGTCAATAAAGTCAGAACTCTTACATAACCCATGCTGAACCCCCAGAGGTCTCTGCACCTCTCTTCTAAACACAACGATGTTTGGAGGCAGTTTAGGTTGTCATAACTGTAGGGTGACACTGTCCCACGTGGGCAGAAGCAGGGTGCTGAGTCCCACAGTGAGTGGGAAGGATGGCTGAGGCGGAGGTACCCTGCTCTGGGTCAATTATGATGAGTCTGAGAAACCTTGACCATGGCCCTGCTGATGTGCATTCAGCCTTGGGAAAGTGCTTCTGTTCTCCACTACACAGAGGAAGAAATGAAGGCACCAAGACTTGAGTGACCTGCTCAGAGCCACATAGCTAGCAGGTCTCTCAGCTGTGTAGAGGTACCACAGAGGACAACTCAGGGCCAGGGCGGTTTTCAGTGTTTCTTCAGGACTTGACCAAAAGCTGCAGAGGCCCAGCCCAGGTCAGCCAGGCCCTGACAAGGGCCCAGTCTACTAAGGAATCCATAATTGAAGATACACCAGTCCTCACCATGCAAAACAAGATTGGGGAAACTGAGGCTGGAACAGAGGCAGGTGCTCTATCAGTGCACTCAGGGAGAGCTCTGAAGGTGAGGAGGAGGGTGGGGTAGACCAGGAGGGGAGCAGCAGAGAGTGGGGCAGACTGGAGACCTCAGTGTCGGAGGCTCAGGTCCCATCCGCTCCAGCCTGCCCTAAACACGGGTACCTATCTGGGCACCAGCTGCCTTCAGGCAGCGCCGATCACACCTTCACTCATGCCAGATAAAGAGCTGCGTGCAGGACATGGTGAGAGAGCACCAACACCCAAGAAACACACGTGCATTTGAAGGACAGGCAAGTGTAAAACGAGATGAGAGACGTATGTTCAAGTCCTGCCTCCACTGCCACCTGCTCAGAGACCTGACCCAGCTCCCAGGATGCCCAGGACCATCCAGTTGGAGTAGCATTAACCCAGCCCCCAGAACTGCTTTCCAGCCTTCAGCCCTCTATCCCTGAACCATACCTTTGAGACCCACTGTCAGCTAACCCCTCCTTCTCTTCCAGGAGATCCTCTGGCTTCCAGAGCCCCAGGCCCCTCCCCTAAGGTGGAGGACGACTCTGGAGAAGCTTTTGATTTTGACGACAGTGATGACGAAGAGGACACCAGCACAGGCCTGGCAGTTCCCTGCCCTGCCCCTGAGAGGGACACGGATGCCCCACTGATCTGCTTTGACCCTGTCCCTGGCACAGGTGAGGCATTCTGGGGATTTCAACCTGGGTTCCAGGCTTGTGGGGCTGCAGGCAGATCCCAGAAAGCTGGCAGGGGTTGGAGGGAATGCTGGCTCCCAGGATGCCTGGTGGCCCTGCCGCTGTCCCCAGGAAACAGGAAGGGGAGCCTCTGGGAAGAGGCTGAGTTCCCAGCTTCTCTTGGGAAAGGGAATTCTTAGCATTCCTGCAACATCTGGCTTGTACTCTGGCAAGGCCTAAATGGAATCCCTTGACCTGGGTTTGGATGGGGGGATAGTTAATGCCCAGAGCTTATGTTTTGTAGCTTTTTGGTCATGGCCCCAGAGAACCCACCTGGAGGAGTGGTCTCCTGAAGTTCCCTCTCCATCTGCTTAGGGAGCCAACACCCTGGGGGTGGGAGGGCCCCAGCTGCTGGGTTTTCAGATTTGTCCTCTAGGAGACACTGGGGACTGGACCAGCAGGAACTTCCTGAGATAGTCATTCCACCGGGAGGTATGGGTTGGTGGAAACCGAGTAGGCAGGCTGGTTCTGATTGAGGTTGGACTGTGGGGGTGTGTGGTGCAGGCTGGACAGGTAGGGAGCTTACTCACCAGGTAGGGGCTGGGAAAGGCCAGTCCTGCAGGCGCTGTGGCTCCCTGGGGGGTGGGGTGGGACAGGGGGTGGGAAGAGGTCCTGGTCCTGGGATGCCTCTGCCTGACAGTCTGTTTCCCTTTGCTCCTTCCCACAGAGCTGGACCCAGCGGCCTCATTGCCCCAGACAGAGTAAGTGAGCTTGCTCCTTGCCAATGCTCTGGGGGTTAGGAAAAGAAGGACCCGGACAGGGGTGTGGGATTGGGTGGAACTGAGGCTAAAGAGCACTGTAGGGCATTAAAACCCTTTTTGGGGATGAGGTCATCCCCTGAAGCATCTGTGGCCTCTTTATTTTGCTTGGGAGCCTGTGGCCCAGCAGAAAGCTAGCCTGGCCCGAACCCTGTGTTTCCTCTTGCTACTCTAGTGGCCTTGGCAGAGTCACACTTGGAGAGTCTCACTCTCTCCTCCTCTCTCTCTCTCTCTCTCTCTCTCTCTCTCTCTCTCTCTCTCTCTCCCTCTCTCTCCCTCTCTCTCTGTGTTACTATGCAGAATGGGGGGAAGGGGAGGCCCCACTCACTCAGACCTGTCTAGCCCTGTGCTGATTTCTTCTGTTACCAGTCTGTTTCTTTTCTTTTCTTCTTCTTTTTTTTTTATTTTTTATTTTCATCCTTTTGAGACAGGGTCTCCTGGTGGTCCCAGCTGGCCTGGAACTCACTATGTAGACCAGGCTGGCCTTGAACTCACAGAGATCTGCCTACCTCTGCCTCCCAAGTGCTGGGATTAAAGGCATGT